TGACCCAAAGCAACAAAATGGCCCGTGTCAATGTCACCTCAATTTTGCTACAAAAATGTAAATCAAACGACTTTTTTCACAGGGTTTTGACTTCTGACGAAACGTGGATCAACTACGAGAACGTTAAACGCAAAAATCAATGGCTACCTGCTGGGCAGACCCCTTAAACCACTCCAAAACCTGATATCCATGGGAAGAAGATAATGCTCTGTTGCTGGTGGAACTTCAAGGAATTGGTGCATTATGAAGTGCTGAAACCTGGCCAAACCGTCGATGCTGATCTTTATTCGAAGCAATTAATGAGAGTTAACGAGTCTTCGAAGAAATTGGGGCTCAAACCGGAGAGAGTCAGATTTTTACACGACAACGCAAAATCTCACACTGCAAAGATCACTTATAAGAAAATCGAGGAACTTGGCTGGAAAGTTTTGCCCCACGCGCCTTATTCACCTGATCTGGCTCCTTCAGATTACTTTTTGTTTCGGTCGCTGAAGCACTTTTTGGAGGGAGAAAAGTTCGATGATCATGCTCGGATCATAAAAGCAGTGAATGACTACTTCGCCTCAAAAACTCCCAAGTTCTTCGAGGATGGGATCCGGGATTTGCGCAGAAGATGGGAAGAAGTCATAGATACTAATGGAGAATACCTTTCGAATTGAAAGCTCTTCTTTGTGTTTTTTAAAATAAATGATTTGTTACATAAACGCGTCATTATTAAGTTGCCAATCTAATATATTATTAGGGGTTTGCAAAAGAAACTGCGTATTATACGCAACGTTCAAACACCTCAAAAATTAATAATAAAAGACTTTATTCCAAAAGGTACTCGCCAAAATTCTCAACTATATTTTTCCATTTTTTCCGTAGACTTCGGATGCCTGATTCGAAAGATTCCGGATCTTGTGACGCGAAATAGTCTTGCACCCAAATTTCGACTTCTTGGTAATTGTTAAACTGTTGATTTGCAAGGGAGTGTTGCATAGATCGGAACAAGTGGTAATTTGAGGGAGCGATATCAGGCGAATAGGGCGGATGAGGCACAAGTTTCCAGCCTAATTCTTCTATGGTGTTTTGAGCCAAGTTTGATGTGTGTACCCGGAAATTGTGAGCGAGTAAATGGATTGTCCTTGGATTAACACCTCTTTCTCGTAGAATTTCATCAACTTTCTTCAGCTGTTCGGCGTAGATTTGTGAAATTATAGTTTTTGAAGATTTTTGTAGTTTAAAATAAACGATTCCTTTCATATTCCAAAAGACCGACAGCATAACTTTCTTTCCGTGAAGTTCTGGATGTGATGTCGGAAACGGCCTTTCTCCTTTGCTCAACTATTGTCTTTTGCGTGTTGCATTATTGAAATATGTCCACTTTTCGTCCATCATCAACATGTTTTCAAAAAAGCACTGCCCGTAGCCTTTTTCAATAGAAACCGAGACCATAAAACTCGATTGGCTTTGTTTTCAGCCGATAATTCATGTGAGATCCATCGGCCACAACGATTCCTTTTTCCAATAAGCAAAAGGTGTCGGGAAATTGTGCTCTTATCGCATTTAAAGCATTCGGCTAATTCGGACAAAGTTTGAGTTGGATCCGACTCGGCAACCTCGAGCAACTCCGCATTATCGAGGACAACAGGACGATGTCCATGGGGCTCGTCTTCCAAGCCCTCATCTCCTTCACGAAAACGCCGGAACCATTCCTGACAACTTCTTTCACTCAAAACGTTTTCTCCAAATGCTTCACAAAGATTCCGGTGCGACTCCAATGCTGATTTCTTGATTTTAAAGTCATAGAGAAGGCAAGCCCGCAAAACGAATTTTTGATCCGTCATCTTCGACAACTAAAATTATTTATAATTCAATGGTCAAACAAATGTGAAAATCAGTAAAATAAATAAGCGTTATCAACACAATAGAATAAAATTTAAACTGGGTTAGAGCAATTTCAAATAGAGAAAATATTGTTCCGGAAAGTCATGCGCAGTTTCTTTTGCAAACCCCTAATATATCGTGTTTCTTTTTATCGGCCCTTTTCGTGTTATGTGTATGAATTCATGTGTTTTAATCTTAAATCTAGCGCACTTTATCTCAGGCCCTGAATAAAGTATCTATATAAAAAAACGATAAAATCTTTTCGTCAATGTGTCTATGACAAAGGACCATTTTCAACAAGAATTGACCAGGTAAATAAAAAAAAATTTTATGCTTACTTATGCTTAAATGAAAAAGAATGATAAGCTTAATCTACTTATAGCTAAGTATAAAGGTTTCTTTTCGCAAATCCAGGTCTTTTGATAAACTACAATTTGCAAATAAATATCAAAAATTCTACAAAAGGAAGTTGGAGAATGGAAGAACGTGCGTCTTCGCTTTCACAAAAATCAATCCGAAAAATTTCGCCCGTCGGAGTTTCTATTCTTTTATCGAGTTGCAATTCTTGATGAAATGTTTGTAATAAAGGTTTTTACACTGAACAAATGTTCAGTAAACAATTTCCGAAGTTTGTATCTGTTTCAGATCGTTCTTTCAAATTCATTTCTTCAAAAATGAGTTAGACTACAATCCAAATGTAAAATCGGCGTTTTAGGCTGTATTCTTCTACAAATTTTATGGTCAATGCACATGAAATGTCAATATTCTTTCAAGAGGCGCTTTTCAACCCAATTTATTAGTAAACCCCAGGGGCTTCAAAGATAAGAAAGTCCTATTTTTCTCGCTGCAAAACACTTTTTGAGCCAGACGTGAAAGCTTTTATTTTCACACTTTTTCAAATGATCAAACATCAGTAGTCAAAAATGAGCTGATGGAGAGTTGATCATTTAAAGATTTCCATCCAACAAACCTATTAGAGAATGTTTAATTACGTCTACACTCAAATTTTCAAATAAATCTGTCCAGTCGTTTTCCCTGAATGACGTTTTTTCGGTTTTTAACAAAATATGGTTTTTCTCGTGTTTCTCGGTTTTCTCTTTTTCTGCTTTTCATTATGGGTTCCAGACGAATCTGTGGAAGATGTATAGAGCTTTTAAATAAAACTGTTATGGCACTTCGAGCTTCGAGCTCACAACAAGGATAAGAAACAGTCGACTATTTAAAAATACCTGCCATAGCATGTACATTGACCTTAAACATCTCCTTAAAAAAGATTTTTGGCTATTTCTAAAACTTTACTATTAACTCTTTCATAATATCTTATAAACTCTTTTCTTATCACTCGATGGCTAACCAGAAATTTCCTTACAAAAACGATTGGCTCAATTTGAGATAAGAACCCTCCATTCAAGTGGTTTTGTCTTTATTTGGACACAACTTGATTTCAAAATGCTTTCCTTCGCCACGTTTCCTCTCGAACTACAAGAACTAATTCTATCAAAGGCTCTTTTCGATGATAAATTTGATTATATAAATCAATTGAATCAAATTGATAATTTATTGCAAACAAATCGAAAATTGCGAAACTCAATTCTCCGACAACCTTTCTCAAAGAATTTCAAACGAATTCACTTGGAAGCTGTCCGTCAATCAGAAACACAAATCGCTGATTGTATTTTCGGTTTAACTGTTTCCACAACCTCTTCAACAACCACTTTCAATTTTGAATCAACTCAGGAACCGTTTGTTGTTGTGAATCTAAAAGATTGTCACCCCGATTATGGAAGTCATTCAGGTGGACAATATGTTTGGACTTTGTTTAACAAAGTGAAAAGCTGTGAGGTTCTTTCATTGAATCTAGTCGGTTACAAACATCAAAAAGCTAAAGAAAAAATTAGCAACTATTTTCGAAACAGAAAACTGCTACCTGAGCTAAAATTTGTTTCCAAGGTGGAGATTCGAATCGATTATGGATTAGCTGAAGAAATTTTGAATTCAATGCTGTACTTTGACATGACATTTTTCGCTTTTTGGATAATGTGGGAAGATGGAGAACAAGGGATGACAAAGGATTTGCTCATTGAGCAATTTAAGAAACCGATTTTCAACAATTGTAAAGTTTTCGCTTGGCTAAACAATAGAAGGGATTGTTTGTGGGAGATTTTTCGTCACTCAAGTGCAGAATTGCTTATCTTTCGCAGTCGAATCGATTCACTTGAGGAGAAAACGAATTTCTTTCTCAACAATGAACAAATCAATAACAAGAATGGGAAAAGGATTTCAATGATGTTATTGATTGAATCAATTGATGAATTAGATGGAGATGATACGATGAAAGAATTCAATGATAAACTTGTGAATTCTTTGAAGAATGCTTGTAATTTGAATCTTTTGAATAATGACTCAAGTGAGGCTCGAGAAATTTTACAATACTCAAAGGATCATGGCAAGCAAAAGCTACAACTTATTAGTCCAGTTTTAAAAAGTAAATCGGTTGTTTCTGAATTTTTATCCTTTTTTATTAATCCACATTTGAAGCTTTGTTGTATGATGAGAGTGAAAGGTTTTGGGCAAATGATTTATGATGATTATATGGTTGAAATTTTAGTTAAATAAACAAATAGTAACCTTAAAAGTACCGTAATTAGAATCCTACAATCCTGAAATCCTGTAATCCTTTTGTACTTGTCATTCTTTTTTTCATTTTGAAATTCTCAGGATATTGCTATTTGTATAGGCTTCTCTAACTTGTTTTTGAGCTTAAATTGTATTATACTTGCTTATAAATCCTATGCTTTTTCCCATTACAATATAAACTTTTCACTGATCAACCAAACATTGTAAAAGCAAAGAAACCTTTAAGACTAAAGAATAATTTTTACAGATAGATACAAATCATTTAGAAGAAGAGATTGTAGTTTCGATTTGAATCCCTTCCGGTGAAACGATTGCTTTCGAATCCGATCTTTTTTGAAAGTTAAATAGTGAGATGATCGCTTTTCGATAAACCGGCGTTTTTGTTAGAAGAATTGTCGTGTAAATCGTTGAATGAAAGATCGGGATTATGGAGAGATAATAGAGAAAAACTGAAATGATACGATTCTTTTTCAGCTTATCTAATGCATCAATCAATTCGAAATCTCACTGCTATTGAAGAGACTCAGATACTCGGCCACAAAGCAAATCATCAGCGGCAAGTAGAAGCAGAAAATCGTTCCAGCGAGCTAAAGTCGATAAATCGTTTGAATTCTTAGTTTGAATCGATGACAATTTTATCATCCAGGAATATGGGATATACTTGAAACTTGAAATCCAGGGATATGCTTGAAACCCGGAACCAGACCAGAAGCCAGGCTTAGACTTGTGAACCTGACTTTGGCCTAATCCTGACCTTTCTCTGGCCTAACCCCCTTGCTAAAGCCTATTATCAAGATGTTAGCAGAATTTCTTTTCAGATCAATTTTAACTTACTTACTTGTATCATTAATGTCACCGCAAAACATCGTTGCATTTGTTGCGTTCTCTCCGACAATCCATCACTCATTTTCTTTAATCGAGCGAAAATATCAATGATGAAATAAACGCAAAGACAAAGCTTCCACGTGCCAAAGCTGAATACTCCAGCAAACCAGAGAGTTATGAAAGTGTTTAACTGGTAATGGACTGTGGTCACATATTGGAGACGGGGGTCAGTAGTGATTATCTGAAAGAAGATTGGTTTTACATTCTCTCATGGATCTTTTTCATTAATCGTTCCTTATTTTGTTTGTCTATTCTACTTACCGGATTTGCTCCAAGACCGCCAAGGTATAAAAATATAGAAGTAATTGTTTGAAAGGCTAATCCGAGCAAATTCAGCAATAGCTTTTGCCGCCTCTCAGAGAGCATTTTGTTGCCCGGTGGCACCATTTGAAATCGTTTATAAACGAGAGCCGTTGCTAGTGCTGTGAATGTAAGAGAGATCTCGAAGAACATGAAACTCTAAAAGAGTCAAACTTATAGCCTTTCCTAGCAAAAAATGGAAAACGTTCTTCTTGGAATAAGGCAATTGTAAAGCTATTTTTGACTTACACATTGAATATTGCAATCCAAGTGAAAGAAATAGCTGAAGAGACCAGTGCAACCACTGGCCATTGTTGGGAAGATGAATGATGGACGGATGAAGATACCCATACTCAGATCCCAAACGACGAGACAAATCTAGAAGTAAGACATTGGCGAAGAGCTAGATTTACCTGTAAATTTTCACTTAAACAGTAATTTCGATGACTTCCTGACTTCAAATAATCGTCTTTTACCTGTACTGCGTACAAATATTTCCGATATTCCCTCATCGACATCGGCGTATGTTTGGTGATAATGTAGAAACAGAATGTATGCATAATGAAAGCAATCGGCAAAATGACGAGCTCAATTGTGACAAGTTCTCCAAGCTCAAAGTCGAGAAAACATCGCACAGCCTCTTCCATCGTTAGGTTACTCAAAGAAAGCTCAAAATCGAAACAAGGAAACTTTTGAGCAATCAAGAAATACTGAAATACTTTTTCTTTCAAAAAGTTGCTCTTGAAAGAGTCATTTTTTTCCAATTTGCGTCAAATTAAGTGTCCAGTGTGGGCAAATTAACCCATTCTCGGCTCCGAGAATCATTGTGAAAGCGGGTAATTGTTATTTTGATCGAAAAAAGAAAAAATACTCATGGGGTGATGACTTTTCGGTTTGTCTGTACTTGAAATGGAAAGAGTTTACATCTGGAAAAGGATTGACTTTTGGTTTCACGAGTTTTCCATAGGAACAGTTCAGTCTATGTAATAAATCGACTTAAAACAAGTTGCAAGGATTAAAAAACGATGAAAAGTTGATTTGATAACTCGAGTTTGTTCTTCACGATTGGATTACGATAGTTTTCGATGTCTTGTAGAAAACCGAAGAGGACAAGACGGACTTTCATTCTTGCGTTGAATGAATTTGAAGTTGAATGAATCTTTTCTACTCGATAATTATATCCCACAATTATATGATGTTTTTCTTTTCATCTACTGTCTGTGTCTGTTTGTGATTTGTGCAGTATTTTTCATCAATTCATACGTGAATGATTTATTCTACCGGAAAGCAACAAACCAAAAGGTGAGCTCAAAGGTACATGTGACTTTGATGACTTCAGAACAACACTTCATATGTTTTTGGGTCCATCAAAGTTACAAGTAAATGTGAATTTCGTAAGCCATAGGCCAAAAATAACACAACAAATTGGGCTCATTCGAGAAATGGATGAGAAAGAACTTCTTGATTTGCATAACTTTGGGCCAGAGTCACAAGTACCGCTCAAAGTATCTTTTTCAAAGTATCTTTGCACAAAATTGAGCTTTAATCCCAGAGTCCGAACAATCTTTCTGAAACACTCTGATCATAAAAATCAATTCCTTTTCTTGATGCCTTTTCTTGAAAAACGCTGAATATTGTTTCACTCTAACTCTTTCAAACGGTTGAAACTCGTTTTTAAATCGATTTTCATAACCATCTAGGAAATGCTTGGCTTTTTCAGCTTCCATTTCATCTTCATCAACCTTCACCAATCCACCAAAGTTCAAAAATATCTCCAGAAAATCTCTAAAAAGATGATTTCCCAATTCAGTTATTCCGACAAACGATCCGTTATTTAAAGTATACGTGTACATATCAAATTGAATAATTACAGAAGATTGTCCATGCTTTCCTGGAAGTCCATTCTTCAAAATGATTCTAATCGCCTCTTGAAACTCATCAAAATCCAAATGGGGTAGAAAAATTATCGAAAAATAGCATTTGTTGAAGATTTCCCATTCAAATTGAGCTTGATTTGAACACGAGAAAAATTCCGAGTGATATTGTGGCTTTGCTAAAATTTCCGTCAAGATCTTCTTTTCAGCTTCTCTCTCACTTACTGATAAGTACAAGCTCATTACGCATAAATTTTCGATTTTCGGCTGAAAATTTTCGAAAATCCCTTGAGCTATCTCGCAATTTCCGCGAATTTTAAAGTTTTTGACCACTTTTAGCCTCTCAAAAATCTTTTCAACGCCGAAAATTTTCTCCACAAACTCTTTCGTGTTTTCCCAGGTGTTGCCACTCAGAAATATGTCGATCGATTGGCAGAAATCGATTTTTTGCAAAAATTTTTTGAATGGACTTTTCTCATAAACGCATAGAACAGTTTGATTGATGAAAACGTGCTTGTCATCGATATCAAAAATGATCGCTGACGATCTTTGATCTGAAAGAGTGAAACGAATCGCAATCTTTTTCGACCAATATGCAAGTCTTATGCGAATCTCATCAATTTTTCTTGGAATCACGCCAAAATTGAGAATTTGATGGCGGCATCGTTTGTTGACTTGCAATAGAGTCAATAATGAGTCAGAGTTGGAAAAGTTTAGCGTCAAGTGTTGTAATTCTGAAGGTAAAGTCGAATAGGAAAACATTGTCATGAGGAAAATGGGAATAAAATAGAAGAATGAGCTCGCTTTCGAAAAACTCAGAGTTTCGTTCGCTTTTTGGGAGAATCGATGGGTGAAACTACAAACTATTATAGATACCAGTGAAAGTGAAAACAGGTTGTTCATGTTGTTAAATTCTGACTTAACCATTTTCTAAAAGGTGGATAACAGAAGAAGTTCCCGTATCCCAAGCGTCTTTTTAAAAAGTTACCGTACAACTATAGGGGAATTTACCTAACTATAAACCCTCAAATTGTTCCCTCAATTTTGTTCCTGTTCCTGGTTCACAATGTTTGCCTTTTAAAAAGATTTTATGCTAATTTTTGATCTATACAGTGTTTACCTGTCTTTTTGAAATTTTATTTATTCAAACAAACAACTACAATAAATTCAAAGGAATTTTGCACAAAATTGAGCTTTAATCCCGGATTTAATTATTTTCTTTTCCTGCTTTTGGAGCAATCTGATCATAAAAATCAATTCCTGAAAAAAGCTGGATATTGTTTCACTCCGATCATGACTCATCGTGATTTTTATGCTCAAAGATCAATTGAGTGGGAGCGAACGCTTCCGACTTTTCGTTATCTTTTTTCGTTTTGAATAAACCCAATTTTATTTGTTTCCTCTCTACTCAACTATTCCCTTCTCTCTGTTCTATTTACTTAACCCAATTCACAGTTTTAACTTTCACATTCTCACTCACTAAAATGTTCAATTTTCCAATCCTTCCCTATTATCTAAAAGCATTTGTTGTTAAATATGTTGATATTGACGATTCGCTGAAATTTTTGAGAACAAATTTTGAGCTTCGATCTTTGACTGGATTTGCTGGACCATTCCCAAGATCGATTGAAGAGGTAAGACTTCACAGAATTGAAGTTGAATTGAAGTTGAATTGAAGTTGAATTGAAGTTGAATTGAAGTTAGACATTGCATTTGGTTTTGGTTTTGAACAGTTCGGAAACAAAGCAGGCTTAGTTTTGCCCGGTGTTTTTTGTGTTCAAAATGTAAACACACCGTTTCGAGTGTACTCAAAGATTTCTTTTTCTTGCGACATAGCTAAAAAGAGTAAAGTCACCAGACGGTGTTCGTTTGCATTTTAGGGTAAAATTTGATAAAAATAAGTTTAAAAAGTTTGCTGTAAAATTTGAAGATTCATTGGCAATTTTAAAACTTCAAATTGTTACCCCTGAAGTCGCATTTTCACAGTTCAAATGAAACATTTAGGTAAAAGTCGATTTTTTCGAGCATTCCGCGATCGAACCCTCCAAATATATGCTCCATGTGAAAATCACGGATCAAAACGGGAATTTTGTGACTCTCAGCATTAAGGACAAAAAGATTAAAGTCAACTATAATCGAGAATTGAGCAAAGTCTCTAAATATTTGACCTCAAACTCAGCATTTTCTTTATTGAAGCGCTTCGATAACGCCAGGTCGCTGAGCTTGAATTTTCAATATTTAGAACAAAGTAATGAATTGAATCAGGAACTGAAAGAGAAATTGAGGGAATACTTTTGTGATCTCAAATTCTTACATTTATGGACAGATGTTTCGAGATTGGAATTGAACATTATCAATCCCGAAATAGCAAAGATAATCTTTGACTATTTTGCAGTAATCACTTGGGACAAGTGCTATTTAGGATTGGATTGGCCAAAGAAAGAAATGGATATATTCATTGAATTGCTTGAAAGTCCTTTAGTTAAACGTTGTAAAGTGATTTCATTGAAAAGCCAAGAAAACTATCATTGGGATGAAATTTTTGCGCATCAGCCGGAAATCCTTTTGGCTATGTTCAAGAATTGGGAAGAGTTCATTGAGATTTTCGAGATTTATCTAGAAAAAGGGATTTCTATGAAGCAACCAATGGGTACAGTTGGTTTGTATCTTCAAATTTACGAGAATAATTTGAAATATTGGATCCGAGAAGAGCCAATAATGGAAGTATTATTTGATTGGCTTAAGGAGAAAGTTTTGGACACTGTAGGCATTGAAATTCTGCCAGATGAATCAAATGAGGCTTTGTCTATCTCTGAATACTTTCAAGCATTCGTTTCTGAGTACAAAAGCGATTATAAGGAAAGTCGTCTGGAGAGACATTTGAAATGCGAGAATTCGTTTAAGCTTTTCTTTGAACGATGGATTTTCGATGAGCACAAAAGCCAATACTTTTTGACAATGACAACTGGTCGAGATGAAATACAGCGAAAATATTTTGAGGTTCATTTGATGATTCACAATATTGTTCATGTTACTTAATATTGAGGCTGATTCATTTTTCTAATAGCACTAATTTTTCTTTTGTACTGTGAATTTTCTTATTTGCTATTGTTTGTATGAGTGTTTTATTGAAAAATAATAAAAACAGCTAAAAACTAATTAACTTCTGAATAAAAACAATGGAGAATCACTGATAATTAAACTGAGCTATTCATTGTCAGATCCGGTTTCACATAGCATTCGTTAAACAAAAATCACTGATGAGCTAAACAGATTTTTATTTAGTATATTTTTGATGATTCTCCTCCTTTCCATCTCACAATTGCCGATGCTCTTCACCAATATTTATTGCATCAATCCAAGCCTAAAATAGAAAGTGATCCTGTAGCTATTGTATTTCAAATCTTCCAGCATCGGCTACTGTATCCTTTTTGTATCCCACCTGGTGGAATGTGAAACTGTAGTGAAAATTTCAAACTACTTGCAGAAATGACTCTTACAGTAATCATTTGCTACAAAAATTGTTTTTTACAAACCATACGCTGGATTGCTCATTGGGGAACCGATAAATTTCCAGATTGGTCGTCACCTTTTATCAGGTTGAAAGAATTTATAAGTGGTGGCTGTCGGTGAATTTCTAGATGTAGTCATTGACCTTAAACAAAAGAGTCAATTGTGTGCGGTTGTCAAATGTCAAGGTCAAAAGCTTGAAAGTTCTTTCAATTTAAAAAAATACAAAGTCGATCATCATGCAAACGATCTTAGCTGGATCTCCGCAGTCATCTAAAAGTTTAGACCAATTAAACACGAGTTCCAATTGGTAGACTTAATAAAGTGAATAGCTTCAATCGAATGGCCGACCCCAAAAACCCCCGGGTAGAAATTTACAGCTAAATATCTTCTTTTTGTAAAATACCATTTACAAAGCAAAAGAGAAATCCCTGTGTTAGCAGTGTTCTTTGTGCGCTCTCCATTCGTAATCGCTCTCCATCTGGCATAAAACTCTGGTATAAGGGTTTCTCTTTTGGAATTCATAAAAAGGAAAGAGCGGTGAGTGACTGAGTTGGTTTTTGCTGTTTTGGGCGTCACTATGCGCAAAATTTGGGACCAATTCCCGCCCTAAATTTGGCTTTATTTTTGAACAAATTCTACATCCCTTTAAATCAAACTAGCTGACACACTCAAGATTAAAACTGATATAAAAAGCTGATTTCATCTTTCTCCCTTTCACTGTGTCTTCTGAAAGAGTTGCGAAACCGTTAAAAGGAAAAAGATAAGCTTTCCCTGCCTGACTCAACCAATTTCACCATTGATTTTCTCAAGTCGCTATTTCAAAAACATTTCTATTTAACCAAATTCAGCTATGTTCCCATTTTCCTTATTCCCCACCGAACTGAAGAACTTAATTCTGCAAAATCTGCGACTAGAGGAATCATTCAATTTGTTAAAAGTGAGCAAACGATGCAGGTTGTTGATTTTATCTCGTGGACCTTTTCCAAGAATGATTCCAAAAATCGAATTGCGAGTGTTAACAAAAAATGTTTACAAAGAATTTCTGAAAGGAGAAACGGCTGAGTTGATGATTGAAATCTCACTCATTGGCATTTACAAAGAATTCGAGTTCTATCCAAGTTTCACTTTTCGGGACAATTCGATTCATGGACGAGGATTCGCGATTGATGGAGTGAGGCCAATGTTCTGGAAAATGTTGAACAAAATCGATTACTGTAGAATATTACAAATCGATGTTCACTACTTTGAGGATACGAGTGAAAAGGAGAAACTTATTAGGCAATATTTTAGGAATTTGAAATTCCTACCGAAACTGACTTGTGTAAACCTTTTGGATTTGAACATATCTGAGACAAAGCTTGGAAAAGTTATCTATGAAAATTTGAATATTTTGCAGCCGGTGAAAGCAAAGATTGGAACTTTATGGGCTCCACTCGATCGTTTCACGCCATTTTTGTCCGAAGAGATTTTGCGTCAAAATTTCTCATGTTGCGAATTTTTACAATGGAATATTCCGGGAGAGATCGACTTTGAAAAAATCTCAAAAATCGAGACGAATTGCCTGCTGATTCCGAATATGAAATGGGCTAATTTTCAAGAATCATTGAGCTATTTGAGTCACGGAAAGTTGTTGAATGGAAAACGAGAAATGGTGTTTTGTTTACAGTGTTTGGTTGATGATCAGCTCGTTCTCGATTCTTTTCGAATCGTTTTGAGAACTCTGGACTTTCCAAAGAGTTTTGTTGAGAAAAGTGGCAGGCAACGTTTGGAGGCTGGATCGATTGAAGCAGAGGATTTGATTGAGACTGTGAAAAAGTTGAAATGGAAAAATGCTGGAATGTTTGAGTATCCATATAAAGCGGCGGATTTCTCATTGTCAAGGAAACAAGGGTTTTTCAAAAGAAGTTTTGATGGTGGAGAGGAATGTCTTTATTTTGTGAATCAGCAGAAAGGAATCGTTCATCAGACTCACCAATATTTGGAGGTGTTCGTGAAATTTCGGAAAACTGTAGTGGAAGAATGATTAAAAAGCGGTAAGTTGTTTATCTCGTTAAAGTAAGATCATTAAAAATATTCAGGCGTCAGATTAGCGACATTTTTATTCAAAATAGACTCTTTTAAGGTTATTCAGTCGGCTGAATACTTTTATAATGTTTTTATTGGCTCTTTCTCTTTCACCTTAATGATAAACTTGTGTATTTTGTGCTCTTGAATGGAAATACAATGGTAATTGGTGCCCTTTAGAGAACGTATTAACGAAAGGAACACACTTTTACATTACTTAATTTAAAGTTGATCATTTTATGTGACTAATATTTGTCAAAAAGCATTGAAAGAGCCTTTTCGTTAGTTCTCGTTTCTTTACCTCGCACTCTTCTGCTGCTAAATGTTCTAAAACCTTGTTTCTGATTATAAAAGAGTTACTCACTTGATCGATTCCACACGAAATCTCAAAAACTAGCAAATAGATTTCTTTGTAAAAGAAAAGGATTTGGCAAAATCTTTCAAAGAGAAAATGATCGGAGAAATGTTGAGATCATTTTGTTTCGCAAAATGAGTGACGCGTAAGAAAAGCACCGAGCAAGCAGCTGGATTTGGTTGATGTAGTTGAATTCTCAGAGAAACAGATTCTCATCTCATTGATTAAAAACTCAGCATTCAAAAACAGCTTCCTCTCCTCTTTTTATTCTCAATGTTAGGTTCGACATTTGTTCATGAATAAAAACCCAATCTTACTCGCTCTCACTACTCTTCCTCGCAATATTCCATCATCAGCACATAAAATGATTGAGAATCATTAAAGATCTCCTCGAGTGCGTAAAATTGGACGAAATTTCGATGAGTGAATCTTTTCAATGTTATCCATTCTCTCTGCAAGTTTTGAACGTCAGCGTTCTCCGCTTGAAAGATGTATTTCGCAGCAACTTTTCTGCAATTGTGAATTTGAATCTTGGAATCTTAAAATCTTAAAAATAGAACTGGAATTGGAGCCGTGAGTTTGTTGAATGCTTTATTTATTTTGACACAATTGCAAAATAAAATGTTCGTATGGCTTTTGATTATTTTTGTTTTGGTTTCAAGGAGCATGGAAAGGGTAAGGATTTGATAAGCTTACAAGTATGATTAAGATTAGGTTTGATGTTAGCTAAAACTGTTAAATAAAACAAATTTTCTCACCTTTGACTTATGAAAAACTGCTCAGTGAAGCGTTAAGCAGCTCCCCGTTTTCTTACAAGTGAACGATCGCAACCTGGAGTCGGAATCATTGAAAGATTGAATAAAACTATTTAGAGACAAGATTACGATAGTTTAAACATTTTTGCCTTCCTTAAATTTCAGAAAAACTGAAATGAAGTAATTATGGATTTGATTAAATCGAAAGGAATGGAAAAGTTCGAAGAATTTACATTTGAAGCAAAAACGATTCGAAACGATTTTCATGACCATTTCCGAAATGGTTTGCTGAAAGATTTTCATGAAGCTTTCCAAGAAACGAATGTGATTTTTCAGTTTTTCAAAAGAAATTCATCAGTTCAACGGAATTTTCGGTCCATGGTCTTTAAAGCTGTTAAAACCAAGCTTTAAAAGCTCAAAATTTGTATGAGCAAATTGGAAAAGAAGAAAAAAAGATGCTTTGTGAAAACATTGAAAGATGTAGGACCATTGATGGATTGATTTTGGATTCGGAACTTTGACTATTTGAAGAAAAAGATTTCAGATGTTGATGATTTGGTGTGTCTTTTGATACTCTTCTATCTGGATCGAGAAACAGATCAGTGAGATTCAATTTCTGATGCAATATGCTTCAAGGACAAAGAGGGATAGACGGGAAACTTAAAAAAACTCTAGTAACAAAAATACTAGGATTCCAGTTCTGCATTTCATCCTGTGATTTCATTTTGATAATAGGCTACCGTAACCGTTCTTTTCTCTTGATATTGTAAAACCTGTTCTCCAAAGGGACAACCAGAGTGACCGTTGATTCAATTGTCGCGAAAAGTGAAAGTTCTCTCATTCAACATTTATCGATCAACTACAGGGTTGTTTACTCGAAATGTCTCCCTTCAAATTCTCCTATTCAACTCTTCCCAAAGAACTCAAGGATTCTGTATTGAGATTTGTCAGTGTTGCGGATTCAATTAAATTCTTAAAAACGAGCAAAGAATCGAGAGGTTTATTGCTGAAAAATGGTCCGTTACTAGGGAGATTTTTCGATGAAATCCATTTGCAGATCGGATTTCCGTTTGATGACGAGGAATGTCATCCGATGATGTTCATTTATTTGAGGAGAAATAGGAAAACTCTGTACATAGTCTTCGCAAAAGATGGATTAGAATTTGACAAAGAGTTTTCAATCAAAAAAGTATCGGTGAAGCTTTTTTGGAATTTCTTCAATAGAGTGCAATTTTGTCGAAAGCTAAAATTCGACTTTTCCATGGGAAGAACAAGATTTTTACCAAGTGAAGAAAGTCGGGACTATTTCCTTACTTGGAACCCAATATTTTCAAATATTCACTACGTATCCATACTCAATATCACCGGAAATTTACATCTTATGTGTGGATTCTTTGAGAAATTCTATTCAACAAATGTTATCGATAAATTTCAACCAAAAATCACTTGGATTCAAGAAAAAGATGATTTGGCGGCTGAATTTTTCAAGAATTTAATGCAGAAATCAATGCTTTCTGGATGCAAAGTTTGCTCATTTGATGATTTTAATAAAGATAATCGGTTGTTGACCTTCATGGAATCGTTTACGAAAACGAATGCTGAGCTGGTTTTGGCGAATGGGAATTATGAGCATTTTCAGGCAATGCTTAAAGACTACAATATTATTTGCAAATTGAATAATTATACTGCTATCTCTACCGTAAATTCTGACTCTTGGGTGACAAGGGCACCGAAAGATCTTATAATTAGATAAGAAGTAAGAAGTAAGGTAGTTTTCGAGAGTTGGTACGTTTTAGAAAATGAAATTATAACTTTAAGAAGGTGTGACTTTGATTCAAAGTCAAACTCTCCGTTCTAAGCTAACAGAATCGATCAAAAGAAACGAATCTAGAAAAAATTTGCTTTCTTTTGTAATCAAAATCTTTCAGGATATCCGAAAGCTCTTCAAGAATATAATCGAGAACGGAATCCCAAGCACAAATCCTCATTCATCAATCGCCATCTTTCCCAATAGTCCCATTTGCTTAGGATTCGAGGAATCCTATGGAGATCTTATTATGAATCTTGATTCTTTCCAATTCTCATCAATTCCCGATCTTTCTCCTGAAGCCATTCATTTGTTTAGCTATTTCAAGAAACAGTACCACCTCAGTCTTTTGCATAATTCCACTGGTTTTAATAGGATTTTGAAAAATAACTCTACTAGTAAAAGTTTGTATTTTAAAAAGGAGATCTCCGCAAAGAAAAGTTTAATTTGTATGATAATTTGGTTGCTCGATCGCGATGATGAACACGAATATGTTGTCGGTTTTGAGGTTTTCCTCAAATATTATTATGTACTTTGATTTTTGAACAATAAAAGCATCAAGCACAAAATTAGTTTTGAAGCAAATTTGCAGAGAATAACAAACGAAGTAATTAAATTGAGCTTTTTTGGAGACTCTGAGTTTGGAAAGGATTTTTTTTGTGAGCTCGCGTGATATGAAAGGAAATTGGAGAAATTGAACCATAATCTTTCGGTTGATTGTAGTTCAAAAATTGTAGCCTTTTAGCTAAAAAAACTAAATTTTTAGCAAGTGATGGATTTTTGAAAACTTCTTTGTTTCAGTAAAATGTGGTTATTATCGTATTCAATACTCGGTCTAATTTCTCCCGTCTCCACTTTGACTTTGGTATGTTATTCATTGCAAACGATCTGGTAATGAAGTTTGAATCCAAGTTGGTACTAGAGTTTTGAAACATTAGAAACATTTCTATCTTATTCACACTTATCCGTGATATGGCAACTTAAGACCAAAAACTACAAGCTCTTCAACGAATCGCCGACTGTTCGATTGACCGCCCAAAATTTCGCACAGGTATCAAAAATGTACCACATGTGAACCAAAACATCATCAAAATTCGAGTTTAAAGCTAATTTCAAGATTTTTGGCTTTTTTGGAGTGCCAAACACCTTTACACTTTAAAAGTTGACCAAATCGCAAAAGTAAAATGTTTTCATTAAAGAATCGACCCAAATTTGCAATACTTCTTCAAGAAATTAACCAAGCTCTTGGTTTTTTCAAAAACCTAGTTTTCGAGTGTAGTGTATCGATTAGAAACACACTTTTTCACCTACCTATTTTTACCGATCCAGCACTTCAGGAAGTCAACTCCTCACCGAATCCTTGGATAATTGTTATCTATAGCGAATCAAGTAAATTATGCAAACGGTAAGAAATAAAGTTAAACTAATCAAATTAAAAAATAATCGCTTTAGCTATTCAAAAGGAGGATGGCCGAAGCTGGTCAAGGCTATTGGGGAGTGGGAAGACAAATTTTCGGAGATATTCGGAAAAAATCGGGTAATCGTGATAGACTTGAGAACCAAGTTTAAATTGTTGCGTTAGATGGGCGCAATCGAAGAAGGTGAGGGACTTTTTGCGACAAATGAGTACGATTTTCCGATCATCAAGATTTTCCCTCCGAACTCGAGTGGTCAGTTTGATATGATTATCAGTTTTTAAACTGTATTTGATTAGTTAATTAGTAAGACAAACACTAGCGCAGAAAAATGCTGTGTTTTTAACTTTTCCAAAGAAATTTTAAGATTGTATATTTAGGAGTACCGTTGAGCAAGAAAATCAACTGGTACAGCACCGATGAAATGCTCGAGATTTTGCTTGCTATTCATAAAATCGGTAAAGAAGAGGTTAGACTCGTGAATTTACCATGGATCTACCAGATCTAGGTTTTGCCAAAAACATCGCAAGAATGGACCACGCGAATCGACAAAATTTGGAACAATTGGCAAAAAGAGTTGGCATTGGCCAATAAGGGAGGTTTGTATCAGTTTGGGCTTTTTCAATCTTGATGACTTTCGGTTTTGGAAGATAATTTATATTTATTTTAAAGTGATCTAGATACAGTTTAAACAATTTTCAGAAAAAGTCGTTCTGGAGACTTACACGCAAATCATCCGCACAGTCACAACTACAAGAGTCGTGAATCCTTTCCGTTTGTTCATCGGCGTCATTTTTCTGTTTCTCCTTTGTTTGAAATGGATCGTGAAATGTGGTGACACGGGTGTCCCTGAAGATAATGAGCATGAAGAACCGGAAACGAGTTTCCATAGAGCTCCTGAATACTCGTATGATCATCCCCAGCCACAGGCACGGTCACAGGCAATTCCACTTCCACCTTCATGACTACTTCTAATTAGTTTTCCTTTTCACTAAATGCTTTTATTGTAATCTCCAGTATCAAGCGCTTTTGTCAGCTTTCAACTCTATTTTCCACAAAATTCAACGAATTCTCTTTTAATAAATAAAATTTTCCACATTTTGTACACGCAAAAGTCATCACAATCTGAAATTTGTAGCTGTCACCTGTCCAAATTTTTGGAAAGAAGTTTTGCCTTAAATTTGTTTGTATTTTTGAACAATTTGAAGGAAATGCAAAAAGATCTGTTCTCTGAGGATCCTCGTTGATTCAGAAGTAGCCGAACGGAGAGAACAACGCGACTCAAGACTTACATAAAGCTATACTAATGGCATGAGTCCTTAAAGGGGTGGGGCGGTCGATCGTTTGCTTTCCTATTTTGCTGCGTTTCTTTGGTCGACTCATTTTTGGGTATCTGAAAAAAAGAAACAATTATTATGACCTGAAAATGATAAAGAAAGCTCGTTAAAAAGAAGAAAAATTAACTGAAAAAAAATCCTTTGCAAGCGCTCTTTAAGTAGTTTTTTTTTCGCCATGGGTAGGCTTACGGTATTATCCACGTTTTAGCGCGCAGAAAGTCGTCAAACGTCATTTTTGTCTTCAAAACATTATAACTTTTTTGTGAGTTGACAAATTAATACGATTTTGGTCTCAAAATGACCGCAGACAACATTTTGACAAAGTCTACTCCTTGGCATTTCCTAATTTTTTGTTATCATCGAGTAGTGGAGGGCCAAATGCAGGTGAGTTTGGCCGTTTCTGTGTAAAATTACCGATTTTTTTTGATAAAATGCGATTTTAAAAGAATCTACCAGACGGATTTTGATAATTTTTTTTCGCCATTGAATTCAGCACATTTTTCTGCGTCAAATGGCTATTCAAACGTAAAAATCCTATAGAAAACGCATTTTCGCGCGGATGTGGGGGGAGAGGGGTATTAATCGCGGTGGATCAACTGTAAAGTGTACCGTTGAAAACTAATGAAAAAAGTCCGTTTGTTTAATACATTTCGTATAGCATCAGTAGCATTTTGTTTCCGTTCGATTTTTTATTTATAGATGAAGTATTATTATTGTATGTGAAAGGGGAAGTTGTCCCATATAAAAGCCCTCTGCAATGACTGGCAAATCAACGGATCCCCGGATTCATTCATTTCATCGTTCGACAATGAAATTCACTCTTCTGTGCGCTCTTTTTGGAGGCCAGTAGTTATTTTTTGTATTGAGATATTGACTATTGAGATAAAACGAGTCTGGCACTCTTGACTGCAAGCATATGAAAGCTAAACTAACAGCAATTAGTCAATGCTTTCCATTTTCAGGTATTTCGGCGGTTGTCCTGCCGGGTGCTGAGATCACTGGACTTGTTAATGTAAGAAGTCCGTCGAAATCCTTTTCAAATCCCTCCCCTTTAGGCCCACAATTCATTCCGTTCTCAGTTGGCCTTAGGAACGTATAAAGCAAAAGATGGGACACCATTTGCTTCAGCCACCAATATGTTGTTGATTGTGAGTGAATACGGAATAGAGAGATACAGGGAGAATACTCAGCTGCAATGTATTGTATTCAGCAATGGAACTCGACTTTGGCGACAAGTGCCTCGAACTATGCGGCCACTTGTTCATTTCTGACTCATTCGGGCACAAGTGGAGTCGGCGAGAATCTCTACATCACGACGAGCAGTGTTATCACGGGAATAGGTAGACACGAATGCTCACTGAATTTCCTTCATAAGCAAATCCTTTCAGGGGCTGCTTCCAGCAATTCGTGGGCTAATGAGTTCTACAATTTTGGACCGAAAGGCTATGTCTACTGGTCTTCGGGCAATAACTCGACTGGACATGCTACACAGGTGAGAAGATATTCATTGTATTTCAAAGATGACTCGTTCAGATGGCCTGGGCAACCACAGGGACCGTTGGTTGTGGATATGCGACTTGCTCGAATGGTCCAACTGGATGGACATCATACACAATTGTCGTCTGTCAATACTATCAACAGTGAGTGAACCTAACTGGATTTCAGCTCCATTTTTACAGAGGAAACTGGGGAGGACAACAGGCGTATGCCCAGGGAACCACATGCTCCCAATGTCCATCTGGGACGACATGTCAGACGAGCACTGGTCTCTGCGCAAGCGGAAGTGGAGCCACGACGACCCCATCCTCCATCACCACAGTCAAAACGACTACAGCTCAAGGAGCCGGCACACCTTGTCAACAGTGTGCCCGCAACGTGGACACTCTCAACGAGCAGTACTATCCTAATCTGGGAACGGTCTCTTTTACCTACAGGTATACGATTTATGCTACATAGTTGTCGCAACAAGATAAAGTTCTGGCAAATTTTTATCTGACTCTTGTGCAATTCGATGATCGATTCTCGATGGCGGAGCTTCTAGCCATTCTAAAAACAACACATTTTATATGAAAAAGTTGCAATCATATTTTAAATATAATAAAAACAAAAAAAAACCAGAAATGAAGCTTAAATCAGACAGACGTGATATCTTGTTGCGGTTTTTATGGCGCACCCTGTATATCTGAGAGCACAACCCCATAACCCCTAGACCATCTATACTTTCCAGAACTGACCCAGCCAACGGCAATTGTTTGATCGCCGATTGGTACTGCAAAGTCGACGCTCCCTATCAAACGGTTGGTTTGATAAGAAGAAATACAGAAAGCAATACTCCAGAAAAGCATAAGCTAGTACATTTGTATGATTATATTATTCCTTCCCTTCAAGGCCGGCTTCCAACTGTACACTGGCGGTCCAAGCTACATGACTCAAGTATTGGATTATAACAACATTGTCGGCATCACCTATGTAAGTCATCGGAATGACTTGGAATTCTTAGGGTTATCAGGCGTCACTATTTTAAGAAGAAGGATTTGTTTAATATTTTGAAAATCTACAGTTGGGCGCCAACGACACGACCGCTAACGGCAAATACAAGCCGTTTGTGTGCAACAGTGCATCCCAATGGAGCTTCAACGGAGTGGTCAGTGAAAAAATATGGGTTTCACTTTAACTTAGACTTACTCAAGGTTATTAGAGGTTGTTAGGGTGAGAATAAACGTCACATCAATATAATTGAAGCTGCTTTCAGAGTGATCTTGTCTTGGATTGCTTCGCCTACAGTTAAAGATCCTTGTCTATTCATCTACTGTACATTTTATAAATATATTGTATTATCAACGGAAATAAATTGTGTCTTAAAAAATTATGGGTTACATAAGAAAACTTTCATGATGCTACATAAAATTCACTTCTGAATTACTCTGGGGGAATTCTTTTGAACAAATCACCGTTTCAATTGACCAACCCAATAAATTCCACAAAGAAATCTCACAAGTAATTATCCGTGTTATTTTTTAACAAAACCTTGAGCAATGCCAGAGAACACGACTAAATGAACAAATTTTTGACGCTGTCTCTCTGTCCACGTAAACAAAATCTAAAAAAATCGATGTTTGACTTATTTTTAATTTAAAAAGTTGAAACCAAAGCTTCAGTCCCATAGAAATAAAGAAAGTTTATTAATAATGCTTCAAAGAGTTGAACAATCTGATAAGTTCAACTTATTGGTTGGTTGTCCTCAAAAAGAAACTTCTTCTTTTGATAAACTAAACCCGTAGATCCTGAGGATCAGTCAATGTATCGAATCCCCAATATAGATGTACAGGCAGGGTCATGTCTTCAACATGATACTCTGGTGGAGTTGGCTAAAAGCCTATGTTTAAAAGTGATTTTACTAAGCTTGTGGAACCTTATACATTTTCGAAAACGCTGAAATCAATCCCAACTGGACAACAGAGGTTGGCAATAGTTTTCATGAAATTTCGAGGTCATCGACCATCAAATACCCCGAACCTTTCGTGATGTTAGGCCCATGTTTAAAGATGAGGAATTAAGAGACTCAGTCAATGATGCCAAAATCTGGCTGATCGAATGTAAGCTAACGGTTTGACTACGGTAATTTTCTCAAATAGGTGCCTTTTAGAAAACGCATTACTCGAGAGGAACACACTCTAATAGAAAGCTTAGGGTATTTTGATGGCCTTTTGCATTATCTAAACATAAAATCTCCATCTGGAAAAAGGCATCTAGAGATGTTAAAAACCAAAAGTGTAGATCGAAAGGTCTAAAGAAAACAAAAAGAAAACAAAAAGAAAACATAATGCCTGATTTTTGCTTTACTTTCGCACTTACCTTGTAGATGAACTAAGCGAGCCTTGCAGCGTCTCCAAAAATTTGTAAGCCCATCAAATCACTCTAGCCGGGTGATTTTTATTCTTTTTATAATAAAATCAGCGATATGAAAATAAAAAAACAGGTGCTTGCCGTAAAAAATTTTTTATGGTCACCCGGCCGCGATTAATACCCCCTTTAAAAATACTGTTAAGCTTCAATCTTTGACATTTCTGTCCTCATGAAAAACGATTGATTCAAGCTAATTACAAAAACCCTGAAAAAAAACTAGCTATTTACTTAAATAATCAAACATTCCAATCTTTGCTTTCTTCATTTCCAGGTGGAAATGCAGCTGGGAATATCAACTGGAAAAGTGGAAAATCCACTCCGACAAAAACTTTCAAAACAGTATTAAATTGGGATGATGCTCGATGCGCCATCGTTTTATTTATGGTTTGAGTCCGCTTTGGCCATTGTGTCGACTCCATTGAATTTCTTGGCTTTGTTTTGCATTGTGAAGAAAACCCCGTCTGAAATGAATGACTATCGATCACATTTAGTCGTGTATCAAGTAACTTGGAGATTTTTATTTCTTGTATAAAATCATTAGATTCTAACGATGGCATTGGACTTTGTGATCAGCTCCATACGACCTGAGTTGAATTTTCCGGCCTTGTCGGGCAGGATTTTTGGAATCTGGGATACCGTTTTTGAATTTGGAGCCCAGCAAGCTTTGGTAAGAATTGCGTCAAGCCTAAACTAAATGCTTGCCAATCAATTTACTGAAACTCACAATATTATCCCATTTTCTAAAGATTTCAAACAATCTAAAACCCGGCAAAGAGTATTCAAAGTCACAGGTGTTAGATCAAATCTCAAAAGCCAAGCACTAGATTGAGGGCAAATGGACCTGACGATCCGACAAATTTTCAGGGATGCGGTTCTTTTCTCGTGGGTGCTGTTTCTTGTTCAATCAATCAGCTCTTTTTCTACAAATGGCAGAGTTTGCTAGCTGAGGATCATTTTCTCAAGTAAACAACACTTTATCTTAACTGAGTTTTCTCAGATTATCTAGTCGTGGTCGTTTGCTTTATCTTCTTTTAATATATGGAATTTTTCCCTTAAACATTTCTCTCGGCTTTGAGTTAGCTAGTTATGAAAAGGGACCGACAAGTGAGAATATGCGGGAAATGTTACAGGTTGGTGAATTTGAAAAGGGGAGATTCAAACTTTGTTGTACCCAACCCAATCTTTTTGGATACCAGATTCATCAACGATTCCTAAATGGATTGTGTAAATGGATTTAGTACAGGAGGAGCTACAGTAACGGACAGAGCCATTGGTCTGGTTCTAGTCTAAAATATACAGGGTGCGGCAAAAGTTCGGAGCCGCTATGAAAACATTGCAGAAAATTTAGCTCACGCTTTTTTTTGAGTCTCGTATACTTTTTTCCTTTTTTCGAGTATAGTTAAGGTGATTTGTTACAAAAATTTTCTTTTTAGGAGAAAATTCGTAAGAATGAACGCCGAAAAACGACGCGATGTGATTCTCGGATTATACCAAAAAAATAGCCCGGAGATGCGGAAAAAATAGCCCGGAGATTGTAAAAATCACGAAATATCCAAAAGCACCGTCAACAAAGCAATTAAACGCTACAAGGAGATAAAGAACAACAAGGATCGCCCTTGAAGTGGTCGACCACCAACTACCGTAACACCTACGAACATCAACGAAATTCGCTTTCGGATTCGCCAAAACAAGCTGCGGTCGATGCGAAAGATGGGCAAACAGCTGAAAATTAGCCCTCGAAGCGTTGAAAGGATTGTTAAAGGGAAACTAAGATTCTTTAGCTACAAGTTGGCCAAAGCACACGTCTTGGGCGACAAATCCCAGAAAAAACGAAAGCGTCTAGCAAAGAAGATGGTGCGCTTGGTGGTGACTGGCCTACTTGAGAGGATCCTCTTCACAGATGAAAAGATTTTTTTCTATCCAGTCATTGCACAACCGCCAAAATCATAGATAACTTCTCAAAAGGGGTCTGAAGAACACATTTGCGGCAAATTTGATGGTTAGAAAGGCTTTTTCAGCTTCGATTATGGTGTGTGGAGGTATGTGTGCTACAAGTAAGACACCGCCTGTTTTTTTGGACAGAAACGTCAAGATGAATGCTAAAAACTGCCAACAACTGGTATTAGAAGATCTCTTGAAACAGTGGGCAACAAAACACTTTGGACAAGCTGGTTTTTCCCTGCAACAGGACTGGGCTCCGGCGCATGGTACTCATTCAACTCTCAACGTTTGCGCTCAGTTGTTTCCAGGCTTTTGGGATAAGACCATTTGGCCTTCAAATTTGCCAGATTTTAATCCCCTCGATTACTCCGTTTGAGCTATTTTGGAAGGCAAGCTCTCGATGAAGACGTATCAAACAGTGGATGTTTTAAAATCTGCTCTGAAACGAGTCTGGAATGAAATAACCGTTTAAGCGTGCGCCAACATCGTGAGGAACTTCCCAAAGCGTTTAAAGAGGTGTATCGAAGCGGATGGTGGAAATTTCGAGCATTTGTTATAAGTTATTTGTTGTTATGATTCGAATAAAGAATTTGTTATTACCCTAAAATTCCATAGATAAGAGCGGTTTAATTTTTGCAAAAATTTTTTTTTAATATTTGAATTTATTATAAAACCAAACAACAACAACAACAAAAGTAACAATAATTTAACTAATATTTTCAATTTCTATATCGTCATCATCGTTTATCGTCATCCATACAGGAAAAATCGTTTTTCAGATTTTCAACATCACACAATGCTTTTTCAAAGCTGTGTATGATAGGGTCAGAAGAGATGGAAAAAAACTTTCGCTGACCAAAAATGCTGCTTCTTGGTAGCTCATTCTTTTTCTGATCCCGCTTTTTGTTTGTAGTTTGCATTGGCTTCGTTTGCCATCCATTTTTCAAGCCATCCTTCAATTTGTCCTTAAATGGTTTGTTGATACCTACGTCTAACGGCTGCGGAATTTTGGTCATACCACCTGGTATTACAGCGATTTTACTGTGTTGTTGGCAGAATTGCTTTACTTTGTCAGTTATATGACAACGAGCAGAGTCGAAAATGAGTAAGGACCGATCAGGGTCTAAATTGCAATGTTGCCTCTGATTCCATACTTCAGTGATCCATTCTTTCATCCATTCATCCAACTTTTTTCATTCGTTTTGATGATCACATTTGCCGAGAATTTGCCTTTTGGTATCAACTTCTTCTTAAAAATGAGCATCGACTTGAGTTCTTCACCAACAGCAGTCACACCAAGTACACTGTAAAATTTGATTTCTCATGACCAGTGGAAACAATTTTTATGTTGTCTCGCCACTTGACATCCACGGTCCGTTCATACACGACATCAAAGGGAACCGGAACTTCATCAATATTTCCTAAGTTGTAACGAGAAATGTTTAAGGCTTCAGCTGCGACAAACTTCCGGAAAGAAGCACATTTTTGCTAAGCACACCAACGCGGGAATGCCTTGGCAGTGGTTGTCATGGTAGTGGTTGTCATGGTAGTGGTTGTCATGGTAGTGGTTGTCATGGCAGTGGTTGTCATGGCAGTGGTTGTCATGGCAGTGGTTGTCATGGCAGTGGTTGTCATGGCAGTGGTTGTCATGGCAGTGGTTGTCATGGCAGTGGTTGTCATGGCAGTGGTTGTCATGGCAGTGGTTGTCATGGCAGTGGTTGTCATGGCAGTGGTTGTCCTACACTTGTTCTTCTTCGTATCGACAATTTTTTTCGTGCCATGAATAAGCTGCACCAACGCGGGAATGCCTTGAACTCGTGGTAACCGTGCTCTTCTGCTAGCTTCTTTGCTCTGGTTTTAAGGAAAAAAAATTAATATCCATAACAAAATTTCAGAAAAAAGTATTTTTTAGCGAAAACCGCTCTTATCTATGAACCG